ATCACCATCACCATCACCATCATCACCATCACCATCACCACCATCATCACCACCATCATCACCACATCACCACCACCATTATCACCATCACCATCACCACCATCACCATCACCATCACCATCACCATCACCACCATCATCACCACATCACCACCACCATTATCACCATCACCATCACCATCATCACCATCACTGCCACTATTACAGCCACTGTTTACTAAGCATCTACTGTGTGCCAGGCATACTATGTTTGTTTCCTACTTTAAGCCTCATAGCTTAGTTAGGCATAATTATCCCCATGTTACAGATGAGGGAATTCAGAGTCCCAGAGAAATAGTAGGCTGCCCAAGACAGCACAGCAAGGTAATGATTTAAACCAAATGGAACGCGGTCTGCCACAGACCCTGTCCTGACTCAAAGGCACAAAGCCCCCACCCCTGGGCCAGTCTATTTCTCAACATGGTTCCCCAGAGTGGCCTGTATTACGCCTTTCTGCTTAGAATTGCAGAGTGGTCTGTTTTGTCTGCACTGAGCCTGGCCTGACGCAGCCATGCACATCACGTGCATAGAAGAGAGGACACAGGTACCGTGAGGAGCTCTGTACCCTGGTGACAGGGAGGACAGAGCTTGGGTTGGGTAGGGTGTGCAGGTGGCCAGATGAAGGCTGGGGACCTCCATGCCTCCCGGACAGTCAGCAAGAGCGCCTGGAGCAGGTGCCTCTCTCAGTCACACCAAGACGCCGTCTAGACGGGCTTCTGTCACTGCATCAGTGACACCACCCAACTGTTAGGGGAGGGCCTGAGGGAGGAGGATGAAGACCACACTCGCCTTCCAGGGAGGGGCACGAGGCACTCACGGGGCTGGGGCTCAGAATACTCACTGAGCTCCCAACTGGACAGGGCGTCAAGGGGCTGTGGGGCCCCTAAGCCCAAGTCCATGACCCTCCACAATGGCCCACGGGAGGTCATGCAAGGCAGGCGTCCAAGCAGGTGGTACCCCTAAGGCATTTCTACCTGTGCTGCAGAGGAGGGTCACACGTCCTGGAGCTGGAGCTGCCCCGGTGATCCCAGAACCCTGGGTCCCAGCATCCCAGCTCGCACGCACATACAGAGCTCCCCACTCCCCCGAGGCACACTGGTGGTTCAGCCCTGGAGTGGGGGGTTTGTCTAAAACTTAGGTCTAGAGAGGGAATAGATGCAGCCTCTATGCCCAGGTTTGGCAAATTATGGCCCACAGACTGAATCGGTCCACTGCCTGTTTTGTAAATAAAGTTTTATTGGCACACAGCCATGCTCATTCGCCTACATATTTTCAATGGCAGAGTGGAATGGCTGTGGCAAAGTCTGTGTGGCCCTTTACAGGAAGAGTTTGCTGGCCCCTCTTCTAACCTAAGGCCCATGCAGGAGGGGGTTTCCTGAGAGCCTGGTCAGCTCTGGGTCCTCCTGGAGCCGGCAGCCCCGGGGCAGGGTGGGGACAGACCTGGAGCAGGCAGGGTGACACTCGTCAAACCCAGCCTCATTAACAACTCAGGATACAGACTAGCAAAGTGTTTTAACCTTTTCTAATAAAAACAACACCAACGCTTTCAAGGACCATCTTGTCCACAATTATTTCAAGTGACAGAAAACATGTTTATTCTGTTCTGGTTTTTTTCATGATAAAATATGCTTGAAATCTACTGGGGAAAATTAAGAGCTGTTTTTCTCCTCTCAGACAGTAATTAAGAAGCACATGTTGGCACAGATGTTTTTCCAGCCACAGCCAAGCCTCACAACGTGCGCTTTCCTGGGGCAGCCAGGCAAGGTGTCTCCAAGCTCGTGGAGCCATTCATGTCTGAATGCCGTGGAGCCAGCTCGCGCCCCAGCTGCGTGCGATTGCATGGATGTGCTTCCACAAGGAGGGAGGCAGCAGCCCCCCAGATGCTGCTTGCAGCCCAGCTGGAATGCTACCACAACCCCACCCCGCTAAGCTGCCCTCCTGTGCCAGGCACAGGGCGACCCTGAAAGATGTCAGTTTATGCCCCTGAGAACGGGGGTCCAAGGCGATAGGGGACACCAGCAGGGAAAGCAGATCAGGCGTGATAATGGCCTGGTCCTGGGCAGTTCACCCTGCCCGTCGTGCAAAGCTCTGCAGAGTGAAAAATACAGCTAACTCTATCAAGGGCTCATTAAGGGAGGGTTCACTGAGGGTGGAGTTTCCGAACTGGGTCTTGAAGGATGTGTAGGAGTTTTCCATGGCAAAGAATCCAGGAGGGTTTAATAGCTAGAAGCCATGTAGGACTTCAGAGTGGCTGGAGGGGCCTGGGCTGTGGGGCGGGGTGGCGGGGGCGGGGGGAGGCATGGAGTGAGCAGGAAAAGGATTTGGGTTTAGGCAAAGGCTGGAGATTTCACCCTAAGAGAGAATTTTCACTTCAGACTGGGAAGGTAATGCTGATGGCAGAGAGAGGACAAGCAAAGTGGACACAGCTTGGGGCCCCCACCAAACACCCTAATCTATGATCTCCTATTGCCCATGTGGTGGAACCCGCCAGCCCCATTCTGCTCAGTATAACGTCCACACCTCACTGCCCTCCAGACTTGAGTTCCTTGAAATGAGAGAAAAAGGATAAAAGAAAGAAGGGGCAGAGAAGGCCTTCCACAGTGATGTGCAGGACTTAACATGACCTTGAGCACCAAGGACACGGACACCCGCCCCGCTCTGCCCATGCGGGATGGAGGGTGTGGGGGCGCGTGCCCAGGAGGCTCACCTGGTTGTAGAGGGCACAGATGTGCAGCGCAGTGTTCCCCGAGGCGTTCTGCGCCCCCATATCGGCCCCGTAGAACAGCAGGTGCTCCAGGTGCTGCACGTGTCCGTACCTGCAGGCCTGAGACAGGAATCCACACTGTGACCTGGGACCCACACGGGACACACAAGCTCCCCCTGGCACTCGGCAGCGAACCTGGAGCCCCATGGGGCAGCCGACCAGCCCTCCCACCGCTCTGAGCCAGGGCCCCAAACACATCGCCGCCTCACCCAGAGCCTCGAGGGGGCCGCTAGAGTCCCCTTGGGGGCCGGGGATGGGGACATGGGGCTTCTGACAGGCTTGAGGACTTGCAATCAGCTGTTCACCAAGGGGTGTGTGGAGGGACCCTCACATTCCTTCTGTCCATTTCACTGGAGCCCAGAAACACGGCGTACCTCTCCCATGGTCTCAGCGGGCAGCCCCATGAAATGCAAACCTGGCAGCTCCATTGCACACCTGGCTTGCCCCCACCCCCTCCCCCAGGAGGAGGCATGAAAACAGCCAGGAGGGGTGCACACCCCCGCTGTGTCCAGGGAGGAGACCCCCAGCTGTCCTCATCAGGGCAAAGGGCAGCCCCCAAAGCTTTAAGACAGAACCCACCCCTGAGGCAGTATAACTGTCCCCTCTCCGAGCCCTTCTAGGGGTGACATGTTTTTTATGAACCGACAGAGCTCAGGGGCCAAACAGATCTGGACCCATTTTCTAGAACTTTCATTCCGAACCTATGTCTTTATGTGTAAATGGAGGCTTGCAGAGTGCTTATGAGAATCACATGAGATAAGGAACTCGGGCATCAAGTGAGGCTCAGCAGCCGGACAGCCACGCCCCACCCCAGCTCACAGGGGGCAAGGAGCCCCCCAGTGATGATGGGGGGCTGCTGTCCAGCTCCAGCAGGTGGCCAGCGCATGCTGCTCTGTGATGGGGCCACACTTGGCCCTGGGCTGCAAGGAGTAGCCGACTAACCCCTGTCCACCCACCCACACTTCCTGGGCACCTCGGGAAAGGCCAGCGATGGGCAGAACTGAAGGCATGAGACCCCCTGTCCACATGTCGGAGTAACAACCTGGACTGGGAGACACGAAAGGCCACGGAACAGTGTTCCTGACCAAACACTTCCCACACTGACAGTGGGGTCGGCCCCCAGTGGGGAGGGCTGGCCACTGCGGGGATGAGGGCCGGCTGCACTATATCAGAGGAAGAAAAGAGCTCACTAATCAGCGTTTCTGGTCACTGAGACAGACTAAGGAAGTCCACCTTTGCACAACCTACGAGAAAGCGCTATATCTCACCAATTAACAGTGTGGATGGATGACATGAAAGTCATTGAAACCATTAATTGGATTAGTTTAAGGGGGAGAAAACCTGAGAAGCATCCACTTACAATGCTATGCCTCCTGTAAAATTATCTCATTAATCTATGAAGCAGATCATTACTGCAAATAATGTCACTTGTACCTGCCCAGCCCCCAGCGTTCCTCCCTTCTTGGGACAACAGTGCCTACATTTTCCTTTGGGGCCGCCCAGCTCCCCTCTCAGAGGCCTAAGAGGGGGCCCACCCCACACCACCCCTGCAGTGGGCGGGCACCCGACAGGGGCCTCAGCAATCAGCATATCCCATCTCCTGGCCACAGGCAAGGTCTGGGGGTGCCCACGGGCCCCCGAGGGTGTGTGAAGACCCGAGGCTGGAACACGTGTCAAAACTATTAGCAAGGCAAAGTTCTCTCTTTCTCCCAGGATGGCCAGCAGGAAAATTACAGAATCTCAGAGCCAGCAGAGCCACCCGCAGGGGATGCGGGGGGAGGGGGAGGAAGCAAAAAAAGTGGGGGTGGGAGGGAATGAGAAAGACAGACAGACAGACAGACACACGCCCACTCGTGTGGCTAAGAAGACATTGTTCCAGCCCCTCTAAGCTTCAACTGCACCTGGACTTTTCAGGACATAAAGACCAGGAATCATTTTTTTTATATTTTCCCCTTCAACCGGTTTGCGTTGGGATTTTTGTTCCTGAAATCAAGGAGCCCTGGCTAATCCACTCTCCCCCAAAGGGACAGCTCGCTCAGGGGCAAGACTTGGTTACAGCTTAATTTAATTGTTCTGTAGTCAGTAAAGAAGGGACCCGCTTTGCCATAAAAACGCTGAACAATCAACCGAGACTCATTAGTCCCCTCCCCCCAGTTCATCTAAATTTATGAGGTTTTACTTCATGCCAGTGGGATGGTGTCATTCCTCACTAAGGGTCACAATGTGATCAACGGGAAGAGATGGAATAGAGCCATTAACTCTGAGCAGAGGGTTTGAGACAGACGGCTCCTATCCCACGCTGTTCTTTCTCCAGGACTATTGTCGTAAAACAAACAAAACCAGAAAAGTCAGACAGGTGCTAAAGCGTAACACAAATCACTGGGGCTGCAGAGGGGGACACCCAGGAGGTGATGGTCAGACCAGTCCGGCTGCATGGGGGGGGGGGCTGAGCAACAAGCAAATAGAAGGAGGAAGGTGGAAGCCGGCTTCTCGCTGTTACAAATATGGTGCCAGGGAAGCCTAGGACGGATGCTAGGGCACTGGACGGTGGTGGGAGGCGTCGCTATGAAAGCATGGCTGTCAACAGAGAAGTAAAAATGAAGCCATGTGTGCACACTGACGTGCACGTGGGCATACGTCCCCAACTCTCCCTCCCGAGCGGGCCTGGGATCAGCAACAGCCCCGCGGCAGTGAGCACACCGAGTGCCCGGATCTTGGATGCTGAATACCGTTCTCTATTCGAGAGAACCAGGCTCCGTGGAGAAATGGCGGACTCCAGGGCAGAGACAGGAAAAGAGGACGGGCCAGAGGGAGCGCTCAAAAACTAATGGGGGCGTGTCCAGAGGGAAAAGGCGCCATCCTGAAGGGGGTCCCATTGGCCACGGTGGGACAGTGGTAACAGATCATGACCACGAGGCCACAGTGCTGTCAGTAAACAAATGAGGGAATAAACGAGAAGAGAAGCTCTTCCTGAGAACAGAAAGCTAACAAGGGTAGAAGCAAGGATGGGAGGAGAGATCCCCAGCTAGCAACTCATTCATTCATGCATTCATTCATTCATTCATTCCTTCAGAGACAGCAAGGGCTCAACGAGCAGTTGGGAGGGGGCGAGGAAAGGAATGGTATAGGCTCACAGATCCCACGAATACTAATTACCAAGCGGAAGGAGGAAGCATGTTAGGGACAGGAGAGGGAACATCAGCAGTCACCGGCAAACGGTCACCATGTGCCGCCTGGCAGGACACAATGCCAGGAACGCAGTCGTTTCCATGACATTCCTGCCACAATGCACACCCTGGAGCTCATCAGGAGGAAACGGGGGACACACCCACACTGGGAGACAATCTCCCCGATGACTGCCCATCATCACAAAAGGGCCCCGCGAGCATCAAGAGAAGACGGATGACCGCTCCCAGGTGGAAGGGTTCCGTGAGGCAGCCCAGACTGGATCCTTTTAGCTTAAGGGCCATTCTCGGGACAACTGGCGAAACTCACACGCGGTCTCTGAGCGAGGGGTCTGTGAGAGTTCTCTGCACTCACCGCTCTTCTGTAAGTTTCAAATGGAAATAGTCACGATGCATAAAAATAAATTACAATACTACTGACTTGACACAGACGTCTCTAAGCTTACCAAGGCCAGACAGCTGTCCTCCTCCAAGATAAGCCAGGCTAACCCTTCTTCCTATTTTTTTTTTGAAAGGGTGTGTGGTTTCTGGCCATTGGGAGACAGAGATCAGAGTAACTAGAATGTAAGACAAGACAGCGCCCCTTAAACTCGCGTAGCTTAACCTTTTTCCTGAGATGTCTTCTAGAAAATGCACGTGGGTGGGGCAGCACCCCACATCTACAGCCTGAAAATCTCCAGGGCAGGCGTATTAGGAAATGGCTCCCGTGAGATTTGGGGTTCACCCCAACCAAGAAGAGCATCGTCCCCATCATTAGCCAACCACACAATTTGGTGTAAATTAGGGGAGAGGGTGCGCCTTCCTTCAAGCACTTTACTGCCACCTGCTGGACACCTGCGGTAATAAAGCTACAAGCCTAAATTCACAGCAAGTGGAGCAGCGCCCCCTGAGGTTGTGCTGTGCAACCGCAGTGACCCAGACCTCGCTGCATTGAAAACGGGCAGCAAACGCCTCTGCGTGGTTCCATGCCACACGCACAATTACCGAGGTCCACAGCACACTGGGGCATGTCTCCTTCAGCGTGTGCTTATGCTGTGAGCTGGAACTATCACAGCCAAACAGTCAGAAAACAACGTCCACAGCGTTTCAGCTCTACTTCGTCAGGAAGTGCGCTGCCCATCAAGACGGAGACAAGCTCTTGCCCAAGTTCATGCAAATACACCTTGCCTCACCCATGCCGCTGGCTGCCCCCTTGGCCCTGGGTCCTGTGGTTTTCAGAGGCGGGCTTTGGTCTTGCTGCGGCCGACTGGGGAGCTGGGAAAACGTGAGTGTGTGGACTGCAGATCAAACCAGAAAGTGGCTAGTTCTGTTTTCATCGGTGTTATCCGTTCAATGGTGTTGCCTCCAAATTCAAATTCATATGTTAGAGTTCTGAACCCCAGGGGCCCAGAAGGTGACTGCATTTGGAGATCAGGCCTTTAGAGAGGCGATTAAGTTAAAATGAGGTCACTGGGTGGGGCCCCCATCCAATATGACCAGTGTCCTTAAAGGAAGAGGGGATTAGGGCACAGAGGGGTGACCAGGTAAGGACACGGGGTGAAGATGGCCATTTACATGCCCAGAGTCTGAGATTCTGGGGTCCCTTGGCCTCTGAGTGGAAGGACTTACAGCCTGCAGGCCTGGGGACAGTAAATCCTGTTGGTTATGCCGCCCAGGCTGCGGGACTTGCTTACAGCAGCCCTAACAAACCAACACCATCAGTTACGGTCAACTACTTTATGAGGTTCAGCCTGAGATGCGACGTACAGAAGATGGAAGGAATTTGAAGAGGAGAGATAACTGTATCTCAGCATCAAAGGCTCTGGCCCCGCCCTGCCCACTTTCCCTATGGAGCCCATGGGTTTTATAACATGGTTTCTGGACACGAGCGGTTTC